TGTGTTGGGGGAGGTGGCTGATGGCCAAGAATGAGGGAGACCGGTCGGTGATCTGAACCCAGATCGTCTAGTGTCTCGATTGCTCTGAGGTTGAGAGAAACTCCTTGGAGTAACGCAAAATCTAATACATCGGGTGCGTGATCGGTGTTATCGGGAAAGTGAGTAACACCGAGAGGACTGTGGACGGTAATATCAAGAGACTGCGTGATATCGAGCAGTATCTTGCCACTAGGGGACGTAGTGCGGCATGTCCATTCAGTATGCTTGGAGTTAAAATCTCCAAACATAATGACTGAATTGCCCAAGGATAAAATGGCCTCAAAATCTTTTTTGAGGGGATAGGTTCCTGAAGGGATGTAACAGGAGGCTATGAGGATGGACTGATGTCCAGTCATAGCTAGCCTGCATACCGTAGCTTCCATGTTGGTAAGCTGCGGAGTGGAAATGGGGGAGCAATGAAGTGTCTTCTTGTAATAGATGGCCGTTCCGCCACCTCGGCGGTCGGGTCTGTCATTACGAAGAAGAGAGAAGTTTTTAATAGAAAGGCCTTTAGTGTCCTTAGCTTTGAGATTAGTTTCCTGTAGGAGGAGGAAATCGACTTCACGATTTCGAAGAAAGAGCTTAAGCTCTGGAAGGTTATTTCGCAAGCCGCGAATATTAAATGATACAAGCGATAAACCCTTAGGTTTGATACGACCGTGGGATCTTGGTAGGTTAATTTGCTCAGACATTGGAGTTAAGTTAATTAAGTTAACTTAACTTACAACGCTAGCAGAAGATCGTTGTGTTCAGCAAGAGCGAGGAGACGCTCTTGAGGGGACTTCGCCACGCGCAGTTTGAGTGCTATAACGGTGATCTCCCTAACATCGATATTCCTAATCGCGGAATATAGCGTGTTGTAGTCGTCGGGTGTGGGCTCCGCCTCGTGTGCGTACGAGGTTGTCCGCGGTGGGTCTGCCTTTTGGGCCCCCAGGAAAAGACTGGAGGCTGCATTGGCTTGGAGAAGCCCGGAGGGGGCCCAATTATGCCCTGAGGGGGGCCTAGGGTGACCCTGAGGGGGGCCTAGGGGGACCCTGAGAGGGTCGAGGGAAGCCCTGGATAGGCTGAGAAGGGCCCTGACGGGGCCGTTGTTGGAGGGCCGGGAATGAGCGGTCATTCACCGGCGGTGGAGCTTTCCTACTGGGGCGAGGTTGAGGTGCGCGTGGGCAACTCTTGTAGTTCGCCGGGTATCCTGTCTGGTTGCACAGGACACAGGCAGGCGGGGATTCGGCGTCTTTGGGCCGCGGACACTCTTTAGTGTTATGAGGTTCCAGGCACTTCACGCACCTGGGTGGGGCGGAGCAGTTGGCCGCCGCGTGACCATAAAGTTGGCAGCGGCGGCACTGCGCCGGGAAACCGGGCCTATGTGGGGGCTCCACCTTCACCCTTGACAGGCCGCACACTGTGCGCACCTGCCGGAAGATGGCTTTAGCCTCCGGCACGTTTGTCAGGATTACTAGGGCAAGGTTGTATCTCTTGCCCGTTCTATTGTGCATTTTATGCACTGCTTCTACGGGGGAAACCTTGGGACTTAAGGTCCTCAAGGATTTCCTCGTTAGAGAATTTGAATGGGACGCCTCTGATGACGGCCCTGACTTTACGCTCTTCAGGAAGAGCGTACGTGTGGTAAGATACCCTTTCGGCCGTGAATAGCCGGGTGATTGCGCGGAAGTCCTCGATCGAGCTTGGGATGATTTTAATCGCCTCCCCGAGGTTGACGGCATGATCGTATTTAATACCTGCGTCGTAGCAGGTCTTAGACAAGTGGGTGAACTTAGCCTTGTCTCTTAGGAAGACAGGGGGCGGGACTTGCTTCTTCGCTAGTACTGGAGCACAACGAGAGGCTGGTTTGGATGGTGTGGGGATGTCTAGTGACATCAGTGGGACGGGGGCAGCGTCGAGGGCTGCGGAGGTTGAAGGAGCGGCAGGGGCCGCTGAAGTGGGGGGGGGTGCGTTTTATCGCGGCGCGCTTTCCGTTGCGCTTGGAGGTGACGGTGGTGAAGTTGGTTTCCCCGGTTCCTTCGGAGTCAGAGGACTCCGATGAACCGGAGCCTGAGGTAGTGGCGGGCCTCTTCCGGGAGGTCGGTGCCGAGGATTCGGAGCATGCGTACTCCATTTCTAAGGGGGCAGATTCGAGTGGGGCAAAGGAGTTCCTCGTTTCGAGGTATGACTGTACTACTGGCGGCGGAATGAGTGCCTGAGGGGCAGGGAGGGGAGCCTGGGCGGCGATGGTGGCGATGGCGGCGATGACCGTCTCATTGCCATTTAACCCGTATTGGGTAATGAGGGCGGCTAGGGACTCAGTGAAGCTGGAGTTGGCCATTTCGGTCGAGTAAGCTAAGCTAAGTAAAGTAAAGGTGAAGACGGGTCCCTGCTCTCGGTAGAACAGGGACTAGAACGCGAGACGTACTACAACACACTATGCACGTAATAGTAATGCAAGAACACAAGAAAGATGACAGTACACAAAAAAAATGATAATGAAAATGAAATGACAAGTGAAAATGAAAAATGAAAATGAAAAGCGGAAGTCAGTCAGACCTCCCTGCCCGAAGACAGGGGGGCAAGAGCTGTGGCGAGAAAGTGACTCACCGGCAGCCTCGACGCTGTTCCGCGTGAGCAGGACAGCGGAGGCGCGTGAGCGCGAGCCCGCCCGACCGTACTGTACGGGAGCCCGGACCACCAGACCCCAGACACCAGACCCGGACCAGGAGGCGACCGTCCGAGAACGATGCCGCCGGTGGACTGAGCACTGCGTCGGCGCTGCACAGCGCGAGCGGGACAGCGGAGGCGCGAGAGCGGGAGAGCACTACCGTACAGGAACGAAAGCGCGGACTACCTGGATGCGACCGCTCGGAAGTGATGCCACAGGCGGATTGATATGTCTGTGGTTTTAACTTTGTTTTAAATGCAAGAAGGTAGGGGTAGGGCTATGGATTAGGCATGTCGATCTAAAATCGAAAAATCGATTCTTTGGAGCAAAAAAATAAATTTTAGATCGATTCAGAGTACCGCATCGATTCACTGAATCGATTCAAAAACCTCTCGAATCGGACCGATTCATCTGATTCTAGAACCAGCGATAAAATTCCCAAACTTGCTGGAGTAAGATGCCGCAGTTTTTTAATTTTTTGCTGTTGGGGGACGCAAAAACAACCGATCTTACTTGATTGATAATTTGAACGCAATATACAACACGTAGCATAATTAACGCACTTTGAGAAAGTAGTTTGTTCAGAATTGTTTACTGAATCGATTCCTATCATTTTTAATATAGGTAATTTTTTATCCCAAAAATAATTAAAACTATGTAAATTACAGTCACACTAAATCTGTACAGTCAAAACAAACTGAAATGGACCGTAAATTAAGACAATAAGACTCTTAAGAGTGCAGTTTTATTTGTATTGTTACTAATTCTGCCATTCAATAAAAATAAAGAAAAATGAACTTTATTTCAAGCACGTTAAAGTCTTTGCGTTCGTGGATTTGTACTGTGACCACAACATTCTGCCGGAATTAGTATAACAAATTTGATAAATAATCAGTGCATAAAAATGTTTAATTAAAAATTCAGTGTATGTATTATGGTTATAACATAATATACTAATTGGGGTGTCTGAAGGTGTGCGTTAATTACGTTACATATTTGAATAAAATAAATATTTATGAACGCATCCAACAATATCGAAAAGTTGTCACTTCATTTTCATTTCTAAATTTCTAATTCTATTCTTACCTGTGGAATGTTGGTCTAACTTAATCTGTGCTGTGAACAAAACTACATATACATACTACAATTTAATATTATAGCTGTGAACCTGTTTGAACTGTGAACTTGCGAATTTACTTCATTATCAAAAACATACATATTGTGAGCTGTAAATACAGACGGAGTACTTTCTATATATCTAGATGTTGTAAATAAATATTATATGTTGAAATTTATAGAGGTTTATAGTAAGGAAATAACCAGTATTGTGTTCGTGTAGCATTCATTTCAATTTGATAAATAGCGAGTTAATAGATTGAAACAGATTGTTCGAGAAATTTACGTTGCAGTTTGCCCTTTTGTTAAATTATTGTTGTTGTTTTTAGCCTAGAATGTCAAATAAAAGTGATACATGTAATTACTTTGTAAAAAAAGGGATCGAGTGACGAACCACCCCTAAAATAAACGTTTAAAGCTTACCAAGAGAGGTTAAAAGGAATATTAGTAATTTTAATTAATAAGATTACTAATATTTTAATTTCAAAAAATATTAATGTTCAATTAAATAAAAAATCGCAAATTCTTGAAATTTCATATTTGAAAGTGTCGCGATTAATCGAAAATCGATCTTTTAATCCTCGATTTAATCGATAATTGAATCTAGTATCTTCGATTCAGAGATCGATTTTTTAAGAGTGAATTTACATGCCTACTAGGGATGTTCGATGATCGTATTATCGTCGATAGTGTGTCTTTCCTGGAATAGTGGTGTTGGGAGTAGTGGTGTTGGGAGCAGTGGTGCTGGGATTGGTGGTGACGGGATTAGTGCACGCAATTGAGGGAGGGCTGGAGAAGCTCTTCAAATTAGGGAAGACATATCATTTTATTTTATTTAGCGGATGGTTCCAAAATAACTATTAATATCTGTATTAAACTTTGATATTTTTTATGGAAGTTGTATGCAATGTTTGATTTCATTTGGTTCTAATTTCTTCGTCATTGGGAAATCTGAAATTTTTTATTATCACTTTATAAATAATGAAATTTATTTTTTATCTTTTCTTAAATATAAAGACTGTGCTACCAATAAACTTTTTATTACTTTTAATTAGATCAGGTTATGGATAACACAAAATTGCTTTGCTTTAATCCATGGCATTTAAAGGAATAGCTGTTGCAGGAGTTTTAGCGTTAACTTAACGGCCGTTGGATTGTTGCTCCTGTTTGAAGTGAATTTTGATACGTAAATATGATGAGGTATTGTGTATTAAGTGTCTGCACGTGTGAGCTATTAGAGTAAACTAAGAAGTAAGTGCTTGATAAAAACCTCAAGTTATTTTATTCGCTCAAGCCCCTTGTGAACTTGAGTGACTCTCGTCATTGACTATCCGCTGCGCTGGGTTGATCTGTATTCAAAAAATCTATAAAAACGAAGATTTCAAATTAAATGAAGACAAGGCGTAAAGAAAAAGCATCCAAGCAAAAAAATCTTAATAAAAATAGCTTGCTACCTACAGAATACAGATTTATTAATCTGTGTGTGTATATGAAATCAACTCAAACAGTAGTAGTATGGAGTGTAGAAGTAAGGAGTACCACCTCCCATAGGAGAATAGTTGAAAAAGTGTCCATCTGTAAACAGTAAATAACAGTTCAAAAACTCTCCACTACAGCGCTCGCGTAGCTACGGGGTATGTTAAATTGCCGTAAAACAAATTGAGAGTGATTTTAAAAATAAAAATTTTGAAGGCAATAAAATAATTATTGTAAAAAGAATTATGGTGAGTGTGTGCAATAAAAAATAATATAAAAAGTTTTTTAAAATTTAGACCCGTCCCCACAGAAATCTAAATACAAAAAGAAGTCGTAAAAGCGCGTTACCTTGTCGCCGCACATGTGACTCGTAGGCCACAAGCGTGCGAGGAGCGTTTGTTTCGGTCACCAGTGTTGTTTTGGACGCAGAGACGTAAAAATAGTGTTTTGAGTCATATCCAACTGCGGAAATTCCTCCACAACTTGCAAATTTTCAAATAAAGGTATAGCATTTCATAAATAAGTACTTAGTGTTTTAAATAATGTTGTGTTTAATGAAATATACTTAAATAAAATTATCCACCTCCACTACTACGATTGTCTCCGAAATTGTAATTGTTTTCACATTTCAATATCCATTGACTCCTAAGCTAGTTCATGTCTACGAGTGCGACAGCTAAAATCAGCGATGGATTTATAGTATGGGCAATAAACAAAATTGTTGCGTACGTAAATTTCCTAGACCATGGCCGTAGGAGTCGAATACGAGTCAGTTACGTGACACAACTATTTTGTATCGATAATTTTTTATGTTTGGCTTGCCTAGTTTTAAAGAAACGGGAATTAAATGTGATTTTTCGTTAAATATTTATTAACACCTTTCTACTTTTTTCTTTCTAAATATTTTATAACGTTAACCGTTTATCGGTGATTATCTGTTTGTTTGTACTTTTAAATTACTTGATGAATTTTTAATCAGTTATATTGTAAGGATAAGTAATAATATTGAAAGGGTAGTAGTAGGGTAGTCTTGATTCGATCTGTAAGAAGCCGGGAAACTGAAAAGTAGCAAACAACAGAAAGTCAGTTACAGATCTTTAAAACTAATAAAAAATGATAAATATGTCACTCATACATATATTCATTTGTTTGCTGTACATTATTGGTATAATGTTGTATTCATTTTATTTATACATCTGTTTATTTAATACAATGCTTTTATTATAAGTTTTCAAAAGATCCGGTTATTAAAGATAAATGGATATATTTATTCATAACGTATTATTATGCCCCTTTTTTTCTAATTATAAAATGTCTAAAAGCTAAAGCTAAGAGCTAAGACTAATAGCGTCTATTACTGAGACAATTTCAGTTAATTAGTTATATCCTGGTGTAAGACTCCTGGAAGATCGACGACGCTTAATAGAAATTTATCAAAACGTGCGTTACGCTGCATTATGCCCAAGTGAAAGCGAGCGCGCAATGTCATTCTCTGTTTTTTGCACACTTAAATTATTGGTCCGAGTAGCTACGCCTCCTGAGATTTTGCGTTTTTATAAAATATTCCTTAACGCAATAGTTTATAGATTAATCTTTGTTGTATGAATGCTAGAGATATTTGTAGGCGTAATTGTATATTTATTGTTTGTCTATGTGTGATATCTACGACCTGGCGATACGCGCCCCGATATTAAAAGACAGTAGAAGGCATTTCTATTGTCTTATTATTTAGATTTCTGTGGGCGCTACTATGGAGTGTAGAAGTAAGGAGCACAGACTGTGTATTAAAAAGTGTCCATAGAAAACCATTAAATAAGGGTGGCGCCTCTATATTTACGGCGTATACTTTAAAGAACGCATCTAAAAATATTAGTGGGATAGACGACTTTTTCGAGGTTATATTTACAAAATAAAATTATTTTAGATTTTAGAGCTCCTGAGCAGTTTAGCAGCACACTTAAACCTTCGACAACTGCTAAGTTCATTTCATCCCAGGAGCTACTCCAGCGCTGTTGTGAAGAATTTTTGAACTGTGTTATTTACTGCTTACAGATGGCCACTTTTTCAACTATTCTACTATGGGAGTTGGTAGTTAGTACTCCTTGCTTCTACACTCCAAAGGCGCTACCCTTATTTAGAGTCTATACTCCTTACCTCTACACTCCATAAATAGTAGGCTCAGAAGCATGGAGTGTAGAAGTAAGGAGAAACATCTTTCATAGAAGAATAGTTAAAACAGTGTCCGTCTGTAAGCAATAAATAACAGTTCAAAAACCCTTCACAACAGTGCTGGCTGACAACTTCTACGTTTTTTCATACCCTCTAGCTACTAGAGGGTATGAAAAAACGTAGAAGTTGTCGACGTAGAAATGTTTGCTGAGTTGAGGAATTTAATATTTGTGGTGTCTAGAGTAGATAATGAAACTGCAGTATTTAAAACCTCAACTACTCACGTTTTCTAAAATAATTTGGTAAATATAATCTAGAAAAAATCGCTGTGAAACACGGTCAGTGTGATTTTGAAAATAAACATTTTTAAACCAACAATAAAATAATTATTATAAAAAAGATTTTTTTTATTTAAAAAGAAACTTTTAATATAAAAAGAGTTTTTATGGTGAAATTATGTACAATAAAACATACAAAAAGTTATTTAAAGTTTACCCTCTAGCTACAGTGGCGCTATACTTATTTAACGCTTTCCTACGGACTCTTTAATACAGTCTGTTCTTCTCAACTCTACACTCCATACTCAAAAGAACAAGATCCCAGAGCCGTAAAGCCAGTTAAATAAAAAAATCAACGCAAATCAAACAAAATGGCCGTTCAGTGTAGAAATTTGTTATAATCTTCTATGGAAAGGTCAGTAAATGTATGTATGTTTTAACATAAAATACGCAAAAAAACATGGTTATATATTTGCTAAACGTTAAACGGGTCTACATATTTTTATATACCATATTAATGTTGAATCTAGCTCTTCAATCTTATTACTGTTTGTTTACTTGATAACAAAGCCTACTTTTGTGTACTTTTAAAATTTTACAAACATATTCCAAAATTTAAATCTGTTTTTAAAACTTTTTACTTTCATACAAATAAGGAATATGAGTATTTATGTTAATTTTTGTGAAGAATATATAATGTACTAACGTATTAAAAATTATGATATTTTACAACTACGTCTTTTCAGGCACTGGGATAAATATGTCTAAACGTGACGGAAATGATCGAAATGAAAAAAAATTAGACTCTGGCGACTACGAAAATTTAATATCGCAACATAGTATATTTGAGTCGTCAAGATCTAAACATCAAGAATTGCCTAGTTTTCCCGGATTTTCGAACGCCGAAACTCAAACGAAACCAAGCGATATAAAAGGACAGTCAGTGCAATCAGGTTTGGGAGCATGGCATTACAATCCCTGGTGGATGTTAGCAGGCACATCACGTGGTGTTCAATCACAAGATGATTTTTCAGAAAATAGCGATCAAGCTAAAATCAAACAAGAGCCCAGTGGAGCTGGTACTCCAGATGATGATCCGCTACAAAGTGATTTAGAACATTATCAAACAGCGACACCACCTATAGGATTAGATTCATTTTGTGATGATTGTTCAGACCCATTTTGTGATTCCAGTGCAGCCATATGTCGTAAATTATTTCACTGTCCTCATTGTAGAAAGAGCTATCCTACCATACTTGAATTTAACACACATTTGACAGGAGTACATCCGGCACAAAAACCTTTTAGATGTCAAATTTGTTTGGAACCCTTTCATAAGAAATCTCATTTAAGACGGCATTTAGATGCAAATCACTCACGTAAAGATGTCAACAAGTGTTCTGTTTGTTCAAAATATATTAAAGATAAGAGCAATTTACGCAAACATATGCAGGTTCATACAGGACGGGTACCTCAGAAGCAATTTAAATGTGATCTTTGTAACAATAAACGTTACATGTCACTTGACAGACTTAATAATCATAAAGTGGTGTGCACCGGAGAGAAAATACTAAAATATTGTGACATGTGTACAAAAGTGTTTGATAACTCAAGATCATTAAACAGTCACAAAAAAGTTCATGCAAGAGAATTGAAGTGTGAAAACTGTGGTGAACAGCTACGTTCATTGGAACAATTTACAAATCATAAAATGATTTGTACATGTGCATCCTCTGACATAGCTGGCATTAGTGGATCAACTGGCACTAGTACGGCATCTATGAACCGTTGTTGTACCCAACCTGGTTTGTGTGAGCATGATAAACCAGCCTATCTTAACATACCTGGGTATGCTGCAGGCCGAGTAATCGATGCAACACTTTCATCATTAAAGAATGAGATGAACTGATGACATTAGATGTAAGAATTTCTTAAAATTTATAATGAGTAAAATTTGATTTATTACATTTTTTTACAGATTACCAAATAGCTAAATCAATGACTGTAATTTTCACATTTGAGAATTTCACAAGACTGATGAAAATATCCCGCCTCACTACTTGCTTTATTATTACCATTCTAATTAAGGTGTAGCATGTAAGATAAAACAATTAGTGTAAGACTGTAGATAATTGGACCTGTTCATACAGAATTAAACAAGTTTTAAAAAAAAATTAAAGATAACAAAATGTATGAATATGTTCTATTGTTATCCACCTTTTAATTGTATACTTAAAAAATAAATATTACTTAGTAAGTTTTCTAAAGTATAGCTTTACGTACTATAAACAGACCAGACATTCTATAATTTTGCAAATTTGTTCAAACAATACAGATAAATTACTTCTCATTTGATGATATCAATGCCTTGACTGATTTAGAATAATTACAATTAGTGTGCAGTATTACATCAGACCTTTTTTACTTTTCTATTTTGGAAATTTGTGAGAGCTATATTTTTTTTATAGTGCTTAGAGTATATTTTATAGAGAGCCTAAGTTTTACAAGTTTGTGGGGGTCTATGTACATGAGCATATTCTGTATTGTATTGCTCTAGTGTATTCTATGCTCCAAAGACTAAAAGTAGTGTATGAAAATGTGTGAATTTTGAATATTTTCAAAAGACAACTTTTGTGGGTGACAACTTCTTGTTTCATGACATTAGATCTAAGCAAACCGTAAAGTGCAATGATCACTGGCAAAGCCTAAGCCTGTTGAAGATATGGAGTTTTTTGTTGTGTGTACACAAAATATTTATTCTTGAAGTGTTATACACTAAATAGTTATTACTATTCATAAAATTGCTAAGAGATTCTATTACAGTAGACAGGCAGACTGTAGTCTTCTATATAATTATATCTATTGTTTAAAATTTTGATGATCAATTAATATGTTATATTCAACACTATGTATCAGTGCCTACTACAGGTGTATTGTAATAGGCTCTCAGTATATTTTACAAATTATATTTTAGATATATACATAATACATAATCACTTGTATTTGCATGTTTGTAGGTACAATTGTGAGGCTATGTAAATAGGGTTAAAGGGCCTAAAATTTAATTCTTCAAATTGTATATCAAATTTTTATTCCTTTTATATGTTTTATTTAATTGTATTTGTTATTAAAGACTTCTGCTTAGAGGCTGTACTTTGGTAATATTTTGTTACAATATTTACAATTGTTTTCTAAACTTGTTTATTTTGATTCTTTTAGTTTTAACTACAGTAGTGATAATTATATGTATTTAAAATTAAGAACTAGATATATTTTTTATTTTCAAGTTGAATACTATAATTTAATATAATATTTATCATCACAATATTTGTTATAAATGTATCACTCAAGTAATAATTATTTAATTTTACTTATGATAACTTTTTGAAAATAGATTTGGACCTAAGATATTACTTCTGCCTTACAATACTTATGTATTTATATAACACCCTTGCATCGGTGTCAATTTAATTGAAGACAATAATTGGCTTCTATCTACTATGGCTTGTATTTTCTACATGACATGTAATAAATTATAATTTTTGTTTTAGGTACCAAAATTATACTTTAGGCGATAAATAATTTAACCTTATGGTATAATTACAATGATCAGTACTTTTGCTCTTTTTATCTAATTGTTTAACAATGAAAGATAGACAAACAATAATTTGGACATACAACCACCATCTGTACTGTAATTCACACTATGTGAATTTTAAAGGCTTTTTTCATCATATTAAACATTTTTATAAAATTAAATTTGCAAACTTGTGTCGAATACTAATGATGCCGACTTCTTGCAGTACCTAATTGTATCTACTGATTTTAATTATGTTAAAATTTATATAGATGAACATTAAACCAAGTCACTAGTATCATAGGTGCTATGCTATCTAGAAAATACTTTTTTTTTAAATTGTTTGAAACTAAAATTATCTGATTATTAATTTCATTAAACAGTTACAGTCATGTTGAACCGAATAAATTAAAAGCTATGCATTTTCATTTAGTAACAATATTTTCATCAAAAAGAATTATATTCATTTCTACCACTCACGTCAGACAAATTCTGAAAAGTTTCTTGGACTAAGTATTCTATTGCAAAAAGCTTCTCTCATTTTGCAATATAACAAAAGTAAATTTGTATTGTATGTAGCTAATTTTATTTTCTTTAAAAATATAATTAATTTTAGTTTACAGTGTCCATGCAGCTTCATGTTTTACAGCACTCAGATTTTGTTCAGTTGATATGACTATATTATTTTTATACTTATTAAATTGACTTATGTACCTAAGTTTCTCAGAATTAATATTTTGGGAGGTAAAGAAAAAAATATTTTTACTGGCAATTTACAAAACCACCTAAATATTTTCATTAGCCGCTGTTGGAAGTATTAATAATTGATTAAGGATGTAGCTTATTTTTAGTTTATACAGTTTATTATCATTTATTTTTTGAAATGTTGTATACCTTATGTATGTTACGAACTTGTTATGAGGCTAGTTATAGAAATAAGTTGTTTTGATAATGAACATTTAGTCTTCCGATAAATCTAAAGTGAATATAATGTGCATTGCAAGTAACTTAGATGAAAAAAAAGGAACTACAGACTTAACTGTTATAATTAGTTTACAAAATACAGGCGCATACTATATTAAACTTTGATGCCAATCATATGAATACAATACAACATAGTTCATTATCACTTCAACTTTTAATAAAATAAGCACAATGCAATATGGCGTAAATAACTGCTAATTTATCAATTAGTACAAAAGAAATAGAGAACTATTAAATTATCATTAATATTTTTTTAATTAATATAATTTCCAAAATTTTAAATTTGTGAGTATCTAGCATGGTGTCCGAAACTTTAATGCACCTAGAATTAAGAAAAAATGTGTTCATATGAATTTAGTTATTAACATAGAATAGTATATCTATACTAGCACAGTAGACTGTAAAACAGTGCGATTCCACTATTGTTTGGAAGCTATATATTATTCATGTATACGTAAAATACTATTCCATTGTATATTATGTATTATCCATTTAAGTCAAATTATATCTTGAATGTCAAAGACTTCTCTTCAGTTTAATAAAAGTTTTGAGTATACTTTGGAAACAACTTCAAAAGCAGGCTGGTACTTTTGTTACCAATAACATTCTTTATTTATTACGATGTTTGTAACTTATACGGACTAAAATATTATTATTACAAAGAATAATACAAAGCTCTATGTACACAGATTATCATGAATAAATGAGTTTTCCCTTTTCAGTTTCTATGTACCTACACTTTACATAGTTTACTTAGAAGAAGAACTTGCATAGTTTATTTAGAAACTTGGGCTTATCATTTGGGCAGAACATAAATCTTTTATCATAACAATGTTTCGATTACAGGAGTTTAAACAGCTTTTGCGGATTCGGTTCTAAATTTGTTGAAACGGCCTTTTTTTTAAAAATATTCCAGAGGGGTATAGATATCGTACTTACAGTGCAATCTATATTTGAGACCTATGTTTAGCATTTTTTTTCTTTTAAAAACATTACCTTCACACTAGGATATTATCCTGTATCGTGGGGGCAGTTTACATATATTAATTTCACAAGGACAAACATCCAGACCCGGAACAGTTATTTGTTGGCCATACAAATACTAGCTCCATGCGGGATTCGAACCCGCGGCCCTTAGCGATGCAACTCTGTAAAATAACGGAGTCATTGGACTTTGAATAGGCTGAAACGGTAATTGTTCCGGGATATAGGTATGGATTTCCATATTATATTAACCATTTCACAGTCCCACGAGTCACATATGAACATTTTGATTGTGCGATTCATGGCCAATGACCCCCAATCGCGGCATAATAAATATCACTGGAGGCCCATGACGCACCTGTGCGTCAAATCGAACTTTCCTAGGTCACATTGTGTTGACCACTCCCCCCTCCCCCCTGGTGTGACGTAACATTTTTGCTATTACAGATCTAGAAATGGCTAAATTAACAGTATTGCCGAAAGCAGTTTGATTTCCAATTGTTTTTTTTTTTTTTTAATAAAACCATCTTAATCGTATTCGCGCTGTAATACATACCTAGATAATTATAGATTTTGAAATGTAACGTCACAAAAGGTGACTCCCAGCCCACGATAAATATGCAAAATCGATTGACTATATTCAGAAAAACAATCAGTTTTTGTATTTTTGTCTTGATGGTAATGTTCATGCTTATTAGTGAATAATGTCTGACTACATTCAGGAAAAAAATTCTCGCTAATTATCTACAAATAACGTTTATTAATCGTTACTACCAAAAAATTACCTTCATCATCATCATTACAGCATTTCACAAGTTCACTACCGAACTTAGGCCTCCCCATAGAATGCCACAAAGCACAGTCCTGAGTCACCTGCATCCTTCGACTAACTGAATCTCCGATCTCCGAGGAGTAATAGTGTTCTGTGACCTGCATGTCCTACCAGATCGTCACACCATCTAATGGGGGGTCGCCCTACACTTCGCGTACCAATGCGAGGCTGCTACTCGAGAACCTTTTTTCCCCAACGGTTGTCGGTTCTTCGAGCTATATGGCCGGCCAATTGCCACTTCAGCTTACTAATCCGTAGGGATATGTCGGTCACTCTGGTTCTACTGTGAATATCCTCATTTCTAAGTTCATCACTCAGAAAAACCCCGAGCATAGTCCTCTCCATAGCTCGCTGAGTCTGCGTCCTCATACGACCAGCAGTGAAGGACCACGTCTCAGTTCCATTGGTCGTCACTGGCAACACGCACTGGTTGTATAGTCTCGTTTTGAGGTATACCTAGCTGACGAGAAGATGTGTCGTAATTTCCCGAACGCTGCCCAGCCGAGTTGAATCCGTCCATTGACCTCTCGGT